TGTCTTTATATATAAAGACACTGCTGTCTATGTTTTTGCACAACATGCAGCATTATAACCATTCCTTCTATGTGAATAACAAGAGTAACCTCAACATAATGACAAGGAACAACATCAATTTAAGAACTTAGTTGACAAGTTAAGTGAAAACTGCACATACTAGAAGAGCCAATTCCAAAAATACTAAATTAAAATAAAGAGGTAGAAAATGCATGGTATTTTTATATAGTACATATTTTTCCAATAATAAAAAAAAATGTTTAAAGAAAAAAAGAAAGTCAGAAAATAACAGTGTTCTACATTTATTAACTAAGTTTCCAGAAAATTATTAAAATTACATATATTTTTTTACCAGTAGTGTTGTATTCATAATAGTTATTAGTAATATCAACTTGGAATTAACTACAGTTGATACTTAAAATTTCATGTCCTGGCATACTCACTACGACCATGAGTTTTAATAAATTTTATGATACCACACATGCTCTATCAAACATATTTCATAAATAAGCCACAACTAATTACAATAACTATGAAAATACATGCAGCAGTCTTATCAGTATCATACGTGTAATGAAAAATACTGTTTAAAACTTAACAAATGACAACAGTGACTTGTATGAGACGTAAATGCTTCAAACTTTGAGGTGCTATCCACATTCAGGCTACTGTTTTACTTAAAAAATCAGCAATTAAAACAATGATCTCCTCAAAAACAAGACAAAATGGTTGGATTGCCAAGAGAAAAATGATACCTATTTGATCTAGTAGATCAAAGCTTTACGTAAAGCTAAATATATGAATAATAGTGTTAACATTACGAGGTTTTTGTTGTTTAGGCCTAATGCATCTAGTAAAAAGTAACCTAATGTCACAAAACATAGGGAAATTGGGTAGAATTGTTTACCCCTGTAGAGAAAAAAGGTTCACTTTTCAAAAGTGCTTGGGTTATAGGGTATCATAGTTTTGTCTTAAAGAAAACTTAGCTTAGATACAAAAAAAATTCATAAGACAAGCAAAAATTGAATTGTGGCCAAAGTATATGTGCACAGTCAAGCACCTCCCTCTACTGGATCCCTTTTATATATGTGTCCTACACCTTTTTTTCCAAGTCTACCCTATATATCACGAAAATTATGTTTTATACCAATATACACAAATTTATGTTCAAAATTTCATGCAATTAATCTGTTCTTAACATATGAAGATAATACAAATTTTTGAACTTACCAAACAGACAAGATTAAAATAATGCTTCAGAAAATGATTAAATTAAAAAGTTCTTTATATTTACTATAATTATTGTTTATTACAAAGGCATTGGAAAAAAAACCTGACAAAAGGAGTACATTTTTCATTTACCTGGAATATTTACTACTGGATTCCTGCAAGCACATGCTCTGTACTGATCCTAAAAAAGTATAAAAAATTACTATAAATTTAAATAATAAACGAAAAGCAGTTCTACTCAACTACAATGTCACAAATAAATTGTTTAACAAACTAATATTTCGTTTCCTACATGTAATGATAATATTATCCATTAAAAACTTACAGAATTATGAGATTATTGCTAAAAACAATATTCAGAGCACAAAACCTAAAAAGAGTTAGAGAAAAAATGAATCAAATATATATATATACTACTAATGCAAGAAGGCTAAAATAAGGATATCTATGAAACATTTGTACAACTGTGAAACTTCAGAAAGGTTAACCAGTAATATGTAGCTCAGAGATATTTGGATAGGTGTTATATTTTATTAAAGATATTTTAAAACTGAGGGTAAAGCATAGTTCTTGTTGTGTTGCTCATGAATTAATGCCTTACATCATATTTAATAACCCCAACTTCTTCAGGGGATGGCAAGGTCGGCCTTAGGCCACACATCTTGTCAAAACTTTCCACAGATCCTCTGCTATGTGTGGATGTTAGTTTCCAATATCATATTTAATAAACCAAAGACAAAAAAAGTTTATTAAAGCTGCAATGGAAAACTTGACAGGTGTGTTATTGAATTACTTTTTGAATGAAGGTTATTACACTATTTTCAAAATGTTGTTTCCTTTGGCTCAAAGCTCATTATCAATTAATAAACTCATCCTGTAAATATATTTCCACTGACAGGACTGTGTCATACTCCTCCAGTCAAAAGTCTACCCATGGTAGCAATGCATGTCAATTAGTCTAGAATTCACTGTGAAGTAAACATTTACAGTTGCTAAGCATATACAACTCATGATGCTGTGACTTGCACCTGTGGTGACACATTACTATATCAGTATATGCAAGTTGTTCTCATAAAATGTGATCTACTTCAATGTTAATGAACCTGACAGGTTAATGAATAACAATAATAATAATGAACAATACATACTGGAAACTGGCCTGCAATATGAGTAACAAGAAAACCCCCATGAGATCCACCAAATAGAAAAAGTTGAGCTCTGTTTATGTCCTCTCTTGTCAATACATTTTCCACAGCAAGCTGTGAAGAATAAAAAAATAACTGGAGTTTTCATTTTGTCAGAGAGAAAACCTTTTTTTTATCTAAAGAACCCTACTCACTGGGAAGAATAGAAAAAAATCAATCATATTTGCTATTAATTAGGAAATTGGCTCATGGAGGATACACACAGTTTAACAGATTTAGAGGTGACTAGAAACAGTAGTAAAAAATAAGAAATTATAAAATTTTAAAAACTGTCTAATGCAAAGATCATAGATAATGTAATTTCTTGAATATTTATAGAAAAGAAAAAACAAACACATTTATACCACCAAGCAATAGAACATTACTAATCTGTAAAGCAATCCATACTTGAACATCCTTAACATCCTGGTTCCCAATGTTACCTAGTAATGAGTTGATGCTATGTTCACCAAAACCTAAGGAACCACGAAAATTCACTAAAAAAGAAAGAAAGAAAGAAAGCCAATTAATACTATCATATCCATGTATAAATTGGTAACTGTGTGACTTCCACTTAAAACTTGAACTTACCTAATAGTGAAGCAAATCCAAGTTTTGCAAAAACTATTGGATACAGAGCATATCCTGGTGTGATCAAAGAATGAGGACCACCTTGAAAGAAATGGAAAAATACACATTTTATTTAGTTTTTATAAGCTTGTGAAAATTATATAAAAATATAATAATTAATTTGGCTCATGTAAAACTCATAAAAATTAAGCTATTACATTATAAGATTATGGTCAATACTACAGTATTAAAAATCTAATTTGGACAAAACTAAGGTATTCAGATAACACTAATTTCAAATTACTATAGAGAAACCATGGTATTGAAGATAATCTTTTACTTTAGTAGAGTTAAAAATAAAATAAACACCTAGAAATACTAGTACTTACTATGTTTATTATCATTTTTACAACTGCAAAAAAAGTATTTTTTGTGTATATCTGTCAAAATAACTAGTTTTAAACAAATTTCATTTAATACTCAATGCATTATAATCAATCTAGCTGGCACACACCAGTATTATACATACTAGCCATTAAACCTTTCACAACAGAAGCCCCTTTAAACACTTTTCTGTGCAAGTCACTGCATTATATTCAAGATTTAATTAAACACCTTTAATATCAATGTATGTGAATGAATTTAATATCATAATGTGTGTTATGATTCAAAGTTTTATTCTATTCAAGTTTTAAGTCCTTTATTACAAAATAAACCTTTAAAAAACTACTTAAAACTTCAGATGTATTGTCACGCGGCCAGTGAGCTATGAAAAATCTCTTCTTTGGCTCTCTGTATCTTCAATAATACAATGGTAATAGAGTAAAGGTATATTTAGCCACTGAGATCCTTACATAACCTTTTGATTTGTTCCTTTCAAAGTACTCTGAATGAATACATTTAAAACAAGTAATAAAGTTTTTCAACCCCTGACAGCTGCCACACCCACCTTCAACAGATTTGTTTGAGCCTTATCCCTTCCATGTAGTCGTTATATACACGTGTATATAACAATTAAAAAGAGCTCATCTTACAGTATAAACTATCACCAGTTATTCTGAAATTGGTGCCAAGTCCTTATCACAGAGTACATGAAATTGAATATAGATTTGTTGGCTGCTTGATCGACTACAGCACTTAAGGTTATTTCTTATCTAAATATATTATAGTTGGAGATACAGTTTAAATTGTATTTAGGTCTTACTATTATATTTTAGTTAATTATGTATTAGTTATGTTTTAAATGCATAATTAAAAGGTTTAAACCTTTTTTAAAATGTATATCATACTTTGCCTCCATTCTCAAGGCCTACGATATTATGCACTGAACAAACATTTTGCCGAAGGGTTGCGCATGTCTCCCAAAGAAACTGTAATATGCCTCAAGGGCACCGTTGACTTGTGTCAAGATGAATAATAAGTTGTAAAAGAAAGGAAAATAAAACATTAAAAATTAACTATATGTGAACAGGAAAAAGAGATGAAATTATGAATTTAACAAAGGAAACTCTTTAAAGATATTCTACAAAAAATTAAAAGGCATGTATTTTTTTTTTCAATTTCCTAATATTAACTATTTCATTGCATTGTATATTGATGATAATAGCTATAGTTAGTGATATGGCAGAGAAACTGAAAAATAAAATATAAAATCCGCCTTATAAAAAATTTAGATAGCCTTTTAGGAAGTTCTAGAGACTATGCAAATGAAATATGAAAACTATAAGATGAAAAAGTATTTTTATACTTAAAATGAAAATCACTTTGCACTCGATTTGTTAATAGTTTGAATGTGAGTACCTACAATAGAAAAATAACATTTTTATTAAAAATAGTTAATCATAAAAACCATCATTATTTGTGTACAACATACGATCTTTAACAAAATCTTACGAGTTTTTGAGAGGATATGTTAAGAAATCTCAGAGTTAATGCATGCATTGTTGTACAAGTGATATTTGCAACTCGATTTCTGCAAATTCCATGAGCCCACCACAAAAGGGTTAACAATAACAAGCTACTGACAATTTTTCACTTCACAAGAAATTTAATTTTTAAATCCACATGCAAAAAATAAATCTTGCGGACCATTACAATGTCTTAAATCGTTACTATTCTTAGGCTCTAATACATGCCAAGATAAAAATGAATGATATTTGAATGGTGTAATAACAGTACATTTGCTGCTGATGGAGATTGAAGAAATATAAAATAATGCTATCAAGTTTCTCTCTAAACCTTGTAAAGCATTTGATACCGGCTCCAAATACAGGGTCTTAAACCCTTGGTTGGGTAAAAGAATAGTATCCTAGTGAGGAAGTCAAACCTAAGAATTAAGCATATTGTATAAGCAGAAATAACTAAATATGTAGTTATACACATACACTCATTTTTAAATACTTAAAGATAACTATAACTATCTAGCTCATGTTCAAATTCATAAAGCAAAAAAGATTAAAAATAAAATTAATTAGATACCATGCTTAAGTGATATTTTTGAAAAACAGCTATCTGAAATGTATTAAAAGATTTTTTTTTTTTTACAAGTAAACAAGGTTTAAGGGTAAGGCATAAAATCTTTCAAAATTGGTAATGTACAATAGTTGTAAATGGTTTCATTGTCAGGTTATCTTGCTGACTATCATTTATTATAAAAAAGTGAGACTAAATTATTTATTTACTAATCATTTAGAATGACTGGCAAAGGAGCAAACTAGTCTTGTTGTTTCCAGAGAAGATATAGTATCTGTGGTATGTAGGCATTTGTTAAGTTTTATCTTCTCATTTTAATGTATAATTTTTAGTTTATTCTAGGCAATGTGCAGTTTATACATACATGAGATCAAGAGTGTTGTTAAGTTGGTTTCATTCTAGCTGACTTTGATCCTTCATATTTCTACTGAGGTCACACTTGTTATGTCCATCGTAGAAATGACTAATGGTGTATATGTTTTGCAAGAATGTATACAGTACCGACCTTCAATGGTAGGTCAGGTAGTATCTTAAGAATACGGACTTACCTATCTTTGAATGAGAGTAATCAGTCATTGTGGGTGGCACTAGTTGTTTTGAGTAAGTTTGATGTTATGGAATTAACTATGCAATGCAAGACTTAGACAGTCTTGAACATCATCTTCAGTGTGTCCATCAGCATGGAAATAAATATTGAAGAAGTAGACCAAACCTATCAATTCACAGCTCTAATAAAGGCAGGACTTGTCAAATGTTCAATGCAAGTACATGCACTGTATTTGTGTTTGAATAGATATTTTTTTTCATTGAACATCACACTTTATGTCGAGTCCACTTATTTCTTAGCACACTTTCAGTTAGTTTTAGTGGAATGCAGAATTACTTTATAGTTTATCTTGCCAAACCTCGTATTATATAGTGGACCTACCTAATTTACTCTTAAGGGAAATCAGTTTACCTAAAAATACCACATAACAAAAACATCAATGAGAGGAGACTACATTAGTAATTCTAAAAACTTCAAGAAAAAAAAGTTAAGAATGTATATCAATATGCCAACCACAAGAAAGGTATATCAAATCCAGTAACAATGAGACCTTTTGCCCACAGCATCAACAAGACAAGTCTACATTAGTAGGTTAACAATGAAAGCAACTAGCTGTATTAGAATTACTGTAAATAATTGGAAAAGCAAAGATAAAGAGCAACCAGTACGATAAATCAAAAACTTATTACAGTAATTTTTATAGAATACAATAATTACTATTTTTAAACATGTTATGGAAAGATACACACCATGTGGCCACACAATCAGTGGATGAGAATGGATTTTTTCATCTCCACCTTTTTTTGGTTTTACTAAAACAGCTTCATATTCTATTCCCACTGTAACAAACACACATAAAATAAGTTTTAATACCTAAACTAAAAATCACTACTTTTGGTATAAATAAAACTTTTTTTGAAGCAAAATGTTTTAAAATATTTGGGAAACTTCCTTATAAAACTGCTAAACAGTAAAATCATTTTTACCATCAAAATTAATATTATTGAAAAATGTAAAGATATAAACATTATACATTTGCGTAAAAAGTACTTTCAGTTAATTAATCTTATACTGTGGTATTAGGTATTATTATGATTCAAAACTATCCTAAGTATTTATTGTTGCAGCAACTTTTATTAGAAATAACGTAGCTCAACTACAAGCCAACCTGGAATCCATTGGAATTCCTTCCATTAACTTACAATTGTGATACTTAACATAAATTGAGTGTTTAGATATGATTCATAATAGTTAAAAAACACTTGCTACACTTACTTTCCCACAACAAGAAAACACCACAATTAGAAATTTAATACACTTACAGAACTCAGAATTTTCAGTTTCTTTTGTTGGCTTTAAAGGGATGATAGTCCAATCAATATCTGGTATCTGATGACTAGTATTGTCCAGTTCTATCCACTCAATATCTGTTTTCTGGTCACTACGTTGCAGTCTTCCAAGAATCTACAAATAAAATAAAATAATTAGAATATGTGAAAAGTTAAAAATAAAAATAGTGTACATCAAAAATCATTTAAAATTGAGAAAAACAAATAATTAACATATTAATGATAAGTTATTTTTTTGTGCAAAGCTACATAATGGGCTATCTGTAGTTTGCTCACCACAAAGAATAGACCTCAGATTTTAGAGTTATAAGTCCATAAACTTACCACTGTCCCACTACAACAAAATTTACTTGAGTTCCTTATTAATGTGAAAGTCAAAAAAATAACCTAACTGGTATTTTCCCATGTTTCTTTAATATGCAAAGTATAGCTGCAAAAGATGCTGCTTCTGCAAGAAAAATTACCAATTTTTGGTGTAAGAAAAGTAACAAGTTTGTATCAATAAAAAAAGGTTAAGCAGTTTCAGTGATTAAGTACTGCACAGTATATAGGAAGAAAAAAGCCAAAACTTCACATGTCTTAAGTCTTTCAGCTACAGCTCTTTGTAGCCAGCCAATCATAGCACTGGATCCTAAGTATCTGGGGGAAATTTGTGTTGCAGGTGAAAGTCGTAAAGTATCCTACAAACTACAGAGTGATGTACAATACAATATAACCATCTCATGAAAAAAATCAGTTGATCTTCACTGGATTCTGCTACAAGGATTTATTGAATTAACACATGACCCTAATCAGATTTATTATGTTCTGGACTGGAACTCTAAAACAACTTAAACATTTTGTATTATATAAATAAATATTATAAAAGAATGATTTTTCTTTTGTTTGATTGAAATTTTTTGCTCAAAACTACACAAAAGGCTATTTGCAAAAGAGCCATTCCTAATTTTGAACTGATAGAGGAATGGCAGATAGTAAACTGTACCCATAGCCAAATCTTGAGCTACTCTTGTCTGACTAAACAGTGAGACTTGAACATCATTCTAAACCTAATGTCCCAAAGTGCAAAGTACAATTTTTTCAATAATGAACTATGAACCTTCGGATTCACAGTCTGAGTACACTAACCACTAGGCCAATCCCAGTCATAAGAAAAATAAAGATCTATCAATACACCATATATATGTATATATACACACACACACACACACATATGTAGATAAAGGATATTATGGGGAGTCTACTGAGTAAAATATGGTGAAAATAATAAATATTCATAAAGAACTAGATCTTTCTTTTCACAGTAGAAAAGTAACTATTTTTTGTGTAGGTTCTGTATGTTTCCTAAATCTTTAAACTACATTTTGTACTTTTGTGCATTTTAAGTCCTCTGTTATAGGATGGAGAACGTGTGAATTACTGTTAGCTAAAACATCTATGAACATTTTTCAGATTTGTCATGCGTCCTTGTATAAATTTGGATAAAAGCTATTTTCTCTCTGTCTCTGACTTTTATATGATAACAAATAACTAACTTACAGTTAGTCAACTTAGATTAAGGCAATAAATTTGTTGAGACTAGTTTCTAGTCTAATGTTGTTGAGAACTGTAGATTTATGTTAACTCATATCAGACTGAGAAATCTCTACTGTTGGGTGTGAACTTTCAACTTCTCGTCAGAACTGTTAAAAGTACTAAAAGCATTTAATTTTAATTAAAAGTATGAAACTGAGCATAATTTGTGAGCAATTTTATCACAATGTAAAGAAAGCTCAGTTTTTATTTGATAAACTTTTATCTTCTGTTTCTATATTTACATTCAGCACCCATTCACACTTTTCCAAACATTTCTCACTTGCAGATCTGATGATTTGATTTAATTGTGGATGAAAATATCCAAACTTCACAAAATTGGAGGTACATAATGTCCTGTTTGTCACAATATCATTCATATGCCACATGTATATTGATCAGAGATTTGGTATTTTAGTATGTAAATATTATATATATGAATCTCTTATAGCATGTATTACATACTTACAAAATTCCTGACTTTTCTAAGTTATCATTTCAGAGCATATTAAATCTAGTTGAAATTTTTTTTAATCTCTGATCTAGTTTTCTGATTAGTCAGCTACAGAGGTGATGTGAATTGTAAATGCAGTTCTGACATTTTCAAACAGTTTCACTTCTCCTCTTGAACTACTATCATTGTTTCAGCCAAAGATGCTGATCATGTATTATTTAACATTAGTGTAAGAAAAGTTTATTTTAATCTCTCTTTTTTTGGTAAATGCAGTCATTTCTTATTTAGTTTCTCTATTTAACTACAGTTTAACCTATTCATTTGAACTTCAATACCCTGCAGTACTTCTTCCAATAGCACGATTAGAAATTTTCTTTTTGTTCCATCAGTGATAAAGTGTTTCATTACAACTACTTCCCACTGTGTCTTGTCTCTTTAATTCCACCACTACAACTATCCTTTCATATACTAGGTCCTTGGATTCATAACTTTTGCAGAAGTCAATGAATGTGCTAGGTTTGTCATTCAATTACTACAGCTTACCTCAACTGAACAAATTTTGGAGTCATAGACCAAGATCTAGCTATTGCAGAAGTGGTAGCTAATTTGTATTCTCAGCTACTCCAAGTTATCTTGCTTCTTGGGCTCTTAATGAAGAACTATCCAAGAGATGCCTCTATATTTTGACAAAAATTTAAACAGAAAGGAGAAGAGTCAAAATGATTTGAGAGTGAGAAAAGAGCATCCATCAATGGACTCAGGGTTATCTGCAGCTGAATGATGAGGGTTCTTCCACACTTCACTCAGTGTTTAAGAGCTTCATGAAGATTGCCGACCCATAACCTGGTCTTTCAGATACCACTGATAATGCCAGTCTGTCTCGAGCAAATCAGCCAGGCTCAAGTATGAGTGTAAGTTGCCAAGAAGGGTTACCAACTGCAGCAATGCTAAGACCTCTTGAGGTGGTCTGTACATTGAGACACAGATATCAGCAACCAGCAGTCCCTGAGCCTCTCAGTAGATGATTCTTTCATAATTGGCTGGAGATGAGATATGGTGGGCTGACAATGTTCATTGACCTGACCCTACCCATCTCCTGGCAACATGGTATCCATTATTGCCCATATATGATGTACTCTTAACAAGCCAGAAGCTGTCACATTATGAGAGGAGAACTTCACATTTGAGCAGCCTTGGGTACATTTTGAAGTTTGGTGTAAGGGACATTGGTTGGAGTTGAGAGAGGTGAGAAAGCAGCCAGCTTTTGGTACATCCCTAAAGGATCAGGGGATTACACTCTAAGACATTAGAAAATTATTGAAGGAAACAGCCACCTTTCTAAGCTCAGTCAGATTTGAAAACTACAAGAATCTTTATGATTATGAAGTGTTATAATCCAATATGAAAAACTGGTGCAGTCATAAAAAAAGAGAGCTTATAGGCATGTATTTTGGAAAAAGAATTATAAAAGATATGTGCTTAACAGAAGAAGAAAAAAAGACCAGGAGATATAAGAAAGAATGAATAAACAGAAAGAAGCAAAAGAAGAAGTGGTAAGCAACAAAACCTATTTCTAAGTCCATATGTTGTTGATTATGTTAATAAACAGCAATTTATGTATATCAATATGAGTCAATTCTTGATAAGAATAAGTACAACCTCAATAAAGTTGAAAGGAAAGCAAAGTGAAAGTATAGCACGGTCATAACAAAGAAGTGTCAGAAGCTGTCTACAACACAGCGGTGATGCTGTTGCTATAAAAATATGTCACATGAGTGAGCACAGATAGGAATTTATCATTTGGCAAAGTATAATAGCTGCAGCCGCTAGAGAGGAGTCAATGCCAGTGTTAATACTGGATCCACAGTCATTCATATAAAAATGACAGACATGATGGTAGGTTGACCCTGGTACAACTGGCAGAAAGTAGCGAGGTGAAACACATTATGCTTCCATAATCCTTAAGTGAATGGAATTCCTAGCCTCTAGAACAAATAATGCAACATCTACGGCTTTATTTGGATGATCTAGAAATAAACACTGTAAAATACTTTAAATCTGACCTAGTCTGCAGCTGTGAGAAACTACTGTCACAGAATTGCAAGAACAACTTGACCTGATAAAAAATCAGACCATTTATCAAGCAGGACTGCATATGTGATGCCCACAAAATCTTTACTGCATATGTTGATGAGCTATGATGCTTGCATTGCAAAGCATTCCATAACATGGCAGCAGCCAACTGAGAAAACATTCTGGTTGACAATTCTATAGAAAGATTTCCTAGTAAGTCTATGCTACACCCTTGACCAGTAGAGATATCATGTCTCTAACTAAATTTGTATCTGTGTCAACAAAGTACAAGATCATAACTTCAACCAAGTTGCTGAAGTAAAGGAAGCCTGCAGCAGAAACACAGCAACCAAGTATGCTGCCTCCATGTTGTGAGAAGGAGCAACAGATGATGCCCTATTTGCAAACACTGTACGATAGCTTGGTTCAGCTGAGTAGCTGCCAGCAGGAATATCTTGAATCTGCCATGCCAGCTGCCATAGTGATATGGATAAAGAAATATCCTGACCCACAAAGAGACAGAATAATTTTTTTCTACAACTGGACAAATTTGTCATCATGGCATAGGTGTCCTTTCCCTGTGCCATCACAGATTCCTGCACATCTACCACACAGAACAAATAATCTTAAGGGGAGAAGATAGGCTGTGAATACAGTCATATCTGCTACAACATTAAATTAGTGATCCCCCAAATCAGGTTTGGCCACTGATCTAGGCCACTGTTTCTTCAGGTGTAGCAGTTGGTACAACATCCATAGGGCCAAGTGTGGCTTGGTATGGTAGATACACACATATGTGAGGTAGAATTCTTAGTTGATACAGTCACAGCTAAAACTGTACTAGATCTCAGGGTTACCTGTCACCACTATGTAAACCACTACTCTGGACAGTTAACACAGACTTTTTCCTTAAAATTGGTGACTGGCTTGCAGTGAACAGAAAAGCTTGGCTCTGTATCACTGTTAGCACCATCACCAAATATGTAGTAGTAGTAGTAATAGTAGATCTTGGCTTAAGTATTGGTATTTTATGCTTAGATATCTATAGAAGTTATCTGCTAGTATAGCCCATGCATCAGTTGAACTGCAGGACTGTGGTGAAACCATAAAATGTTAACCACAATGTGCACAAGAACAACAGACTGTGTTTTGAAGCAATGCCTGTAACACACAGTTTCTTGCTGAAAGCGAGCCACTTCTTCACAAGCTATTTTCCTTACAAAAGCAAGATGTATTCTAATAATGATTACATTTTAATTACTCAGTTAGTAAGTTTGCTGTGCTGTAACTTCTTTCTTTGACCAATATGCTTGTAAAGTTTCTTAAAGGACCAAGGGAACTTGGTTTTAATCCAATCATTATTAGTAACAAAATGTAATGCAAGCTTCTAATAAAGACTAACACTGTAAAATTAGAACTGTATCAAATACAGATGAGTAATTACAAAATTACAAACCAAAGCAGGAGCTTTTAATCTGCTGTAAGCTCTAATTTATAGTTAATATCTTTGATTATTGTATGGAAACAAAACTATAATGGTACTTGTGTTTAGACAGTTTAAGCAATTTGCTCTTAAAGAAAAATTATGAAATACAAAGCTAACAGATAGAGGGATTTTTTAAGAATATATAAAAAATACCTGTGTGAGCAATAGTAAAAGGACAGTAAAATTTCTGTCCATTTTCACAGATTAATAAGTTTTCCACAGAATATATGATTTTAAGTTATATTCTGAATTGATAAAAATTTCAATTATATAATTGTGAAAATAATTTTCTTCATACTCTTTCAGTACTAAGACTTTTGTTCCATTGGACCATTGAAATAAAACTATATATTGTAACATAATAACATATATTCACTCCCACTACTAGATGGGAAAGAAATAAGGGTGGTCCAAAAGAGTATACCAAATTGAAATTAATTGTGGTGTTTCTTTCTGTTTCATGTGAAGCACATTGTTCTCCATCAATGAAAAACAACAACTGAATTAAAATTACCTGAGGTTTGACGTGGTTCACTATTTTGAATGTAACTCAAATATCAGTCAGTGTTATCATTCATTTTTGTAGGAATATGAATAAATATTAAAGACATCATTTCAATATATCTTTTTTGGGACACACTGTACCATAACCTTTGGCAGCATAGAACTTACAAAACAAGTTAGTTTAATGATTCTGCATTTCTATACAGTAATTTAACTTCAAAAACATTATAATAAAAGTTTAAAATGAAAAAAAATAGTTTCTATAGATGGTAGATTTTTTTGTTTGTTATAATTCATGAAAAAATTTCAAAGCCCACTAGATAGTTTCTCTATTTTAAAAGACCACAATGTCAAAGCAAGAAATTAATGTCGCGCTTTGGATCACTTTCATTACCCCCCCAAAAAAATGTACATCACGTATAATAGTTAAATGAACCGCCTAAACATCAAGTTAGTGGAGCCTGTATAAAGTGTAAAGTTTAGTATACTCTAATCCCTTATAGCGATGGAACACAATGAGACACACAATCGGCATGCAATGCTGTTTGAATACAAAAG